TGACCCTTACAAAATACAAAAAAACGAAAAAATATTTTTAAAAAAGACACGTTTTGTAAATTCAATTCAAACGTTGTTGCTGCACATTTTTTGCTGTCAACAAAAATAAAAAGGAAACCTTTTTACATTTTTTCATATACTTTTTTAAAAAAGTTTTTAATATACATTTTCTGACCCTTACAAAATGCATAAAAAACACAAAAACAAAGAAAAAAGACACTTTTTAAAAATGAAATCCAATCATTGTTTGCTGCACATTTTTTATGTCAACAGAAATAAAAAGGAAAACTTTTTATATTTTTTCATTACATTTAAAAAAAAAGTTTTAATATACATTTATAATATACTAATAAACTTATTTTTATATTTATATTTTGATATAAAACTTCAATTTTTGACATTTTATAAGCAAACCAGTGCGTGATAAGGGAAAAGGTCTCAGACATGCGCGTGCACACTGATGCGTTAAAGGGTCAGAGACCGGACTTCCGGTTGTCCGGTTCCCTGATCCCACCTGCAGCAGGAAGAGCGGTAAAAACAGTAAAAACACCTGTCAGAGTTTAATCTCCGGGATAAAGGTGGTTTAGGAAGGCCTCTCCCGGGAAACGGGCGCGTGACGGTGCGCGCGCAAGTTCCAGCGCGCGCCATAAAAGCCGCGCGCGCCATAAAACAGGTGAGTCTGACAGGTGAGTCTGGGGATGTTTTCTGACCTCCACAGGATGGCGGCCCGGCTCTGGAAGCTGCCCCGGATAGTGAGCCTGTTCCTGGGACTCTCCCTCCTCATCTGGTCCCGGACCCCCGCAGGTAAAGCAGTGTTTTTCAACCTTTTTTCAGCCAAGGTACAGTTTTTTATTGAAAAAATCACGAGGCCACCAACCAAAAATGTCAAACAAATCTGTATATAGTAACACTATAGTTATTCTTATTTTATTCTCATCTTATCTTAAGTGTCTTGAATAGGAATCAAATAAACACAAAAATGTATTTTTATCATATTTTATATTTCTTCTTTCAAATTGCAGGTTAGAGCAGTGTTTTTCAACCTTTTTTGAGCCAAGGTACATTTTTTAATTGAAAAAATCTCGAGGCACACCACCAACCAAAAATGTTAAACAAATCTGTATGCGCCTATAGTAACACTATAGTTATTCTTATTTTATTCTTATCTTATCTTAAGTGTCTTCAATAGGAATCAAGTAAACAAAAATGTATTTTTATCATATTTTATATTTCTTCTTTCAAATTGGACTTAACATGTCCACTTCAATATACAAAATTATAAACAAAATCTAGTCATAATAAATTATTACATGATTACGCCACCAGTCACTAGAACAGCACACACACTCAAAAATGGAATATTATTTGCAGATAATTAATTCCTTATCAAAAAAATCTTTTTAGACCAATGAGGTGAAATAGGATGATTTTCTTCCTGACCATCACTAACGGCACTAGTGTACCGGGGCACAGGGGTTGAAAAACACTTAGAGCACCACGAGGAGCCTCAAAGCCGGATGTTTTTTCTTATATTTCCATCATACTGACAGAATATGTCCCAGAAATTATTAAGAATTATTTCTCCTCGTGATTTTCTTTTTATGAAAGCATCAAAAGGATGCTTTTGGAAGGTAAATGCATTTATATTTGCAAAAACTTTGGCTAAAATGATAGAAAGTTGTCAACATCCTCTCAGATAAGCCAACTTAATGTTTAATAATAATAACAATAATAATAATAATAATAATAATAATAATAATAATAATAATAATAATAATAATAATAA